TCACCTCCCCCATCTATCTCCCCCCTCACCTCTGCCCTTTTGGCTGTCCTGCACAGTGGCACTCCTTGGCGGCAGTGGCTGGGTTAGACTGCTGCCGGCCCCAGGCCACTATTTCAGCGCCACTGGCGCTGCCACTGAGGAGTGCCACTGTGCAGGGCAGCCAAAAGGGCAGAGATGGGGGGAGATAGGTGGTGGGGGAGTTGAAGCTCCTCTGCGCTCATAAGTGCAGATGGACTGCCAAGCGCCCAAATTTTGACCATGTGACTGCAGGGGTTCTATAACTGCAGTAACTTCAAGACTGGGCATAAGTACCATTTGTTCAGCATCACCATAACTTTGAACGGTCACTAAACAAATGGTTGTTAACTGAGGACTACTGAAATATCATGGTAGCAGTTTTCCATAGAACGATTGTTAGTAAGCACATGCCAGAATAATGCAGCCTTGATCATAAGGATAGTGTAGTGTTTTTGTGTTTTTGTTGCTCTGTAGCTAAAAAAGGATTTGATTGAAGGTAGTGAGAAAAAAGAAGCATTACTTTTACAGTTCGTTCCACTCAGCTGTACATCAGCGTTGAGATATTTTCTCACTACCTCATGAAAAGTTGTTGGTTGCTTAATCAATTTCTCCATGGTACTGCACAGTAATTGGAATACTGTGATCTAATGGGTCACTTCAGCCTGAAGACAGAGCTGAAGTCTTGTCCTCTTCTAAAATGGAAATTAGGCAGTGCTACTTCTCTCTAGTTACTTACGACATCTAGTAATCTGCATGGATCCAGTTCTCTCTTACCTCCTGGAAGACTTCATCCCACAGCCTGGGTGGGGAAGACTTAGATTTCTTTTTTTTCCTTTTCCACGGCCAGCTGCTTTTCTCAGAAGAAATTCAAAAGCCCAAAAGCCTTCAGCAAACTCTTCCCTTGCTACTTAGCTTTGAAGGGAGATGCTCACCATAGTAGAGGTAGAGATGCTTAGTCTGCAGGCCAGTTATGGGTATCTTGTTGAGACCGACAGAGCCTCTGTCCTAGAGGTGCTCGTTAAAAAGCTCACAGCATGAGATGCTGCCAGGCCATTCGCTGGACTGTGTTATCTGTTCGTCATCAGGTATATTAAAACCTAAGACCTTCCGTCCTTTTGGAAGGAATTAATATAAACAGTTTGTTCAATGAATGTTGTAGAATTTTGATGCTCTTCTGTATTCATCTTTATCAGAAAATGACGCACTTTTTTTTTCTTTTAGGTTATAGAAGCTAATTTAGCAAGATTTATTTCTCACGCTGTTACAGCTAGATTTTTTTCATTTATTGCAAACACCTTGAGTCCTAACAATTTTTTTAAAATCAAGTCTTTTAAAACCTGCAGGCCAGTTTTTGTCTGGGAGGAAGGAATCTGTTGCTGAGGTCTGTGGATGTGAAACTGGAAATAACTTTCATCCTAAACCAAAAGAAAGCATTATGGAAGGAAATGAGGAAGAAGATCAGTTTTCACATCTCATGGAGCGGCTTGGAGCTAATAACATCTTGAAGGAGTAAGTATTGCCATTGAAACAGTGGAGAAGCAGGAGAACCACGGAAGCACCTGTCTTTCTGGATTGCGCTGTTTTGGCCTGGAGGAAGGAGGTCAGGCGTTTGAATTTGTTTATTTGTTTATTTGTGTGTGTGTGTGTGTGTGTGTGTATATATATATATATA